CCAAATTTCCAAATTTGAGTCAACTCTGGCTTCGATCCATCACAGAAGTGGAATTGGATTTTGGAATGGAATAACTACGGATCCATTCGGAAGCATACTACCAATGGAATTGGTAGAAATTAAAAACGAGAGAAAGTAGTATCACAAAAAGCGACAATAAAAAAGCTTCGGTAGAATAGGCTTCTACCTCTGCTTGTTTTTATTTCTTTCCCTGGCTTTGAGAACAGTGACTTGACATTTTGGGGTTATGAGACACACGGAGTACGAAAAATGTACGGAGCAGACTGTTTATTGGGCATTTACCAAGCGCAGAGGGATACACGCATATCACTCACACATGTGCTCAGAGTGCTCAGAGTAAGGGAGCACTTTACCCAATGTGGCTGATCGCTGGGAAGTTGGGGAGTAGAGAAATTAGGGAGACTCTATTGTAGTAGTTCCTGAGACATAACAACTTGTTAAAATGTAGTTTTTCCTCAATATCTGAAAACTGCTATACCGATTTCAATTTTTCTTCATTCAAAATACTCGTCTCGATTGCCTCAATCTACATCAATCCAAATGTTAGGTGTGTGACTTAACTTTTACAGATTTTTCAGTAAATTTATTTAATAGAAAAAAATAGAGAACAACGAACTTAATCTTGGAAATATTGTCCATCGTTTTCTATGACCTTGCGCCATTTCTCAGGTAATATTCGAATGCCGTCGCGAAAGAAACTTGCAGGCTTCGAAGCGATAAAGTCATCAACAAATCTACGCACATGGCCCAGCGTTTTAAACTGTTTATCCACTAAGGCGTACTGCATGGACCGGAACCAGTGATAGTCGGATGGGGCCAAGTCTGGTGAATATGCCGCATGCGGGAGAACTTCCCATCCCAAGTCTAAGAGGGTCTTCTGAGTCGCGCGAGCAACGTGAGGTCGAGCATTGCCATGCAGCAATATGACTAGCCTGCTTCCTTCCCCAGTAAATGGCCTTTTCCGATCAAGTTCTTCGCTCAGTTTGTTCAGTTGTCGGCTGTAGCATTCCACACTTGCAAACATCGCCAAGAGACGGTGCATTTTCACGCACCCATACCCCACCGATGATCGCAGGTATAAATGCGAAATGCTGTACTCAGTGTCGAGTTCATTTGTTCATTTTGCGAGTATTCTTCGAATGGCATTTCACGGGACATATGAATTCCGATCAAGCGACTGGTGTCAAACATTTACGTTATAAAGTTAATTTCCCTAATGGTTACAAATTTAACTACACGCGCTCATACTATACTCAAGGAAGTGTGAGTGAATATCGGAACTCTCTTCCCACACATTACAAATACCAATGAAAGTTGATGCAGCACTGTCATGCACTCATCTTCCACCAGTGAGCATAATGGAATGCTTTCTTTACACTTGCAAACATTGCCGAGAGATGGTGCATTGTCACGCACTCATACTCCAACGATAATCGCAGGTGTAAAAACGAAATCCTATACTCTGTGTCAAGTTAATTTGTCCATTTTGTGAGTATTCTTCGGATGACATTTAACGGGACATATGAATTCTGATCAAGCGACTGGTTTCAAACATTCAGGATGCAAAGTTATTTTCACTAGTGGTTACAAAGGTAACTGCACGCGCTCGTACTCAACGAAGTATGCGTGAATATCGGAACTCTCTTCCCACACATTATAAACGCCAATGAAAGTTGGTGCACTGTTATGCACTCATCTTCCACGGCTGGACGTAATGGCATGGTTTCTTCACACTTGCAAACATCGTCAAAAGACGGTGCATTTTCACGCACTCATACTCTATCAATGATCGCAGGTATGAATGCGAAATCCTATACTCTGTGTCGAGTTAATTTGTTCATCTTGTGAGTATTCTCCCAATGACATTCCGCGGGGCGTACGAATTTCGATCAAGTGGCTGGTGTAAAACATATAAAGGGTGTCCCATAGTATGTGACAAAAGTAAATTGCGAATAACTTGAATACGGTTAAGTGTAAATAATTGTTTTTTTTATTGTACACAGAACATTCGGCAAATTATAATACAATCCCTTCCAAGTATCCGCCATCACTTGTACTACAGAACTCTATCCTACGCTTGAAGCTGGTATAGACGCGCTGTATTATGTTTTCATCAATAGCTTGGACAGCATCCCTAATTGCGTCTTGCAACTCTTCCACAGTCGTCGGATGCTTTTCATAGCACTTGTCCTTGAGAAAACCCCATAGGCAAAAATCACAGGGATTTAAGTCAGGACTGTAAGGCGGCCATTCCATGCCCCCATGGGCATACTTAGGGTAACCTAAACCTAACACACGAGTGCAGTAAACCGAAAAAAGTGTTTCAAATACTCCAGTAGTCCTGTGTGGAACGGCATCATCTTCCATGAAGTAGAAATTCTTGACTAATTGTTTTTTCGTGCCCAAGAAAAGAAGTTCTTTTTCAAGAACTCACAGTAAATGTCATCATTAATTGTCCGACTCTCGAGGAATTCAAGGAAAACACCCTTTATGGTAACTGCCGCCCATGCAGTAACTTTTTTCGGGTGTGAGGACTTGGTTTCAACGACGTGAGGTGACTCAGTCCCCCAAAAGCGAAAATTTTGTTTATTTACCAAGCCACCTAAGTAGAAATGTGCTTCGTCAGAGAAAATGATTCTGTGCCTTCATCCCCTTGGATTCAAAAAGATTGTAAAGTTCTTGGCAAAATTCCACACGACGAACCATCGCTTCTTTAGTTAAAAATTGAGGTACAGAAATTTTGTAGGGGTGGAAGTTTAAAAACACCTTTAAGATACGGTGAAGTGAAGTTCTCGAGACTTTCAAGGTTTGGGAAGCCTTCCGAAGAGTATCATTTGGATATGTTTTGAAATGTTCTTCAGTTGTGCGGATAACCTCATCTGTGGTTACAGTAGGTGAAGGGCCAGGATTCTCATGCCTCCTATCGTCTAGTGTACCGTATTGATCAAATTTCTCAATTAACCTGAAAATACCCATGAATTGGTCGAAAAATGCGTAAATCTTCAAAAAAAAAAGAAAAAAAATTTTTGGTTATCTAGCTCATTCAGTCTATTTACCGTCTGAGACTCGAATCAGACACTGCCGTGTGTGTGCCATACTTAGAATGAAATGCTCTTATNTGCAAACATCGCCAAGAGCCGGTGCATTTTTACGCACTCATACTCTATCGATCATCGCAGGTACGAATGCGAAATCCTATACTCTGTGTCGAGTTAATTTGTTCATCTTGTGAGTATTCTCCGAATGACATTCCGCAGGGCGTACGAATTTCGATCAAGTGGCTGGTCTAAAACATATATGATACAAAGCTATCTTCACGAATGTTCAGAATGGTAACTGCACGAGATAAGTATCCACTCATGGAAGTCCGAAAAGGCATCGCAAAATGAACGTCATTGCAACTCTATTGAATCAAAGACCTTCATGATTTTCAACTTGAAAGTGTCAGTCATGGACTCCACTCTTCTTCACATGTCGTGTAATGCAGTCAGATTACACTATTCGTTTTCATTATATTCTATGAATGTGGAATAGTAGTTTTTGATGTGGTTGATACACGTAGCGCTCGCTGAAGGGTTCCCACGAGTGTCTGTCTATATTTTTGTGTCAGATGTCACTTGACACACAGTGTGGGGAAAAATCCATTGTTATATAGATTCACCTTTGTCTCTTCACGCCCAACAAATTCATTCTCAACTCAGCACGAGCCAATGAAAACAACTTACATGTGAATTCTTCCTAATTTTTAGAATATTGAATAGGGAATGATCATAGTAAAAAAATTATCAACGATTATCAACTGCATATGAAGATACATGGAGTACAAACACTGTAATAGTTCTCTCACTAGAAAATAATATAAAAAATTGTAATGAAATGAATCCCATTGAATATCTGATGTACTCCAAGTATATATGTATATTTTTGTCGCTGACGTGTTAAACGCTCGGTTTTAGAGGCTTGTGCGGAGTTCATAAGGCTTATGCCACAATGAGCGCAATGACATGCGCAACGCCTACCATTCTCAAAAATAAAAGGGAGGGCTTCACCTCCGCCCCAACCCCCCACCAGAGGGACTCTGTTTGCCCTCTGTTTGCCCTCCTCTGCCCGCCATCCTTGCTCTCCTTAAATCTCGCACTTAATCCGTCTGTGACAAAATAGTATATTTCTAACCTGGAGAGGGAAAATAAAGCTTCCTCAACCGCGACTGCAATTATCATATGGTAAGTACGCGGCTGAGGACCTTTATTTTACCTCCCGTGGTTAGAACGCGATTTTTCGTCTCGGCGTAGGCGCGACGTTAAATTTCCCTCCCGCAAAAGTCACTTTACGCCCGCCGGGACGGAAAAAAGTATCTGAGATTCAGTTGTTACGCGTGATTTCAAACCCGTGGGATTGGCCTTCAGTTTGGGCTACACACTTTAACCTCGTAGTGAAACCGCGCTTCACAACTTTATGTCAAAATATACTAATACATATGTGTTGATAATTCGATCATAATTTTCTTACTTTTGTTGCTTCCTCCGCGTCCGGTTCTTCGTCTTTTCACTGGCGGTTCTCCCTCAACGTCAACATGCACATGAAGAACGTTTTCAGGTGCCACAGCCCCTGTAGGTTCCCCTCCGTTTTCTGCTTGCATATGAATAACAAAGTCATTATCATCTGATGAATACCCTGATGGATCACTCGGAAAAGGAATAGAGTTGTTCACTCAGTCAAGTGTTGTTCGATCGCCGGTTGATGGGTGATGATTGCGCGACCATGATTGTCGACGGGTAATCGATCAAAACCTAACTATTGACTATTTGTTGGCCAGCAATGGACCAACGATCGAGTGACGATCCTCTGAGTTTCAGCAAGGGATCAATCAATCATCCACCGGCCATCGATAGAGTGAACAAGTCAAAAAGTTGCCATCGAGTAACCATCGATTGATCTGCCAGGGGAATGGTTAGACTTGAGTTGATGTCAAGATTGGGTCATAGAGAAACCAGAATTGGATGAGCTTCTGCTCCGCCTGGAGTTGCATCGAGAGGTTCGGGGACAAAATTGGCAAAATCTGCAGGATGTATTACATCAGCAACTTGTGCGGCCACTACAGGTTCTGCGTGATATTCAGGTGCTGGGGCATGAGCAAGTTCTGGTTCCTCAGGAGGTTCTGTGGGATCGGCAGTTTCTTCAGCATCTTGAGCTTCTATGCGATCTGCGAGTTCTGAGTCCCCAACAGGTTCTATGGCTCCTGCAACATCTGCAGGTTGTGGAACTGGTATACCAAGTCAACGTGGGCGACCTCGAGGCCTCCTTATCGGATCTACAGGTGGTACTGCTGGAGCCTCTGGGAGTGCAACTAAATTTTGTTGTGCGGTCAGACGTCGAGGTGGACGGCCACGAGGTCTCCTTGGGGGGCGATACCTGAGCAGTTGCTACAACTCGTGGCCGTCGAGTTCTGGCATTTGCAGTCCTTCGCTGAGCTTGCGGTGCAGGTGCATCAGGCACAAGCTCAGGGTCAAGAACTGCGATTAGAATTGACAGATTGATGAATGTGTTATTAAGCCTTGTTTTTAGTTCCAATTCATTTATTACCTTCGCCGTGAGGCCTCCTTTGGGGAACCACCTCAGCAGCAGCTGCAATTCGTAGACGTTGAGCTCTTGCATTTACAGTTCTTCGCTGAGCTTGCGGTGCAGGTGCATCGGGCACAAGCTCAGGGTGAAGAACTGGGATTAGAATTGACAGATTGATGAATGTGTTATTAAGCCTTGTTTTCAGTTCCGATTCAGTTATACCTTCGCCGTCAGGCCTCCTTTGGGGAACCACCTCAGCAGCTGCTGCAACTCGTGGACGTTGAGCTCTCTCATTTGCAGTTCTTCGCTGAGCTTGCCGTGCAGGTGCATCGGGCACAAGCTCAGGGTCAAGAACTGCGATTAGAATTGACAGATTGATGAATGTGTTATTAAGCCTTGTTTTCAGTTCCGATTCAGTTATTACCTTCGCCGTGAGGCCTCCTTTGAGGAACCACCTCAGCAGCTGCTGCAACTCGTGGACGTTGAATTCTGGCATTTGTAGTTCTTCGTGGGTCTTGGGGTGCAGGTGCATCGGGCATAAGCTCACGGTCAAAAACTGCGATTACAATGGATAGATTGATGAATGTGTCATTAAGCCTTATTTTTAGTTCCGAATCAGTTATTACCTTCGTGAATCCTTCTTCTTTTTCTATACAGTAGTTGATTTTCTAAGATTCCACCTATAAATCAGAACGTAAAAATTAATTGCAATTATACTGTGAAATTTATGAGGCCATGAGCATACTAGTTCCAGGAGTAACATCAAGGAGCCCATTTAGAAGAGCTGCCTCTGCCTCGGCTTCTGCTTCATCTCTGAATCTCTGATCTCTTCCATCATTATCAACTGACAGACGCTGTCTTTCATCAAACTGGAAAACTAACATTTTCACGATTGAGTATAATGATGCATCCTTCTGAGATTTGCGATTGATGTCAAGAATTCGTCAACATCTAATGTGAAAATGACAAATAAAAATATCATGTATTAGGAGAAGGACATGCAACAGCATCAGATGACTTCATATTGGAATATCTCTGGAGTCATGATAATCATCATTGGCTGGACATATTGATGTTACATTTTAAATTTTGGTTCTCTTCGTATACCCTTTCGGGTCTTTACGATTTGATCCCATCCCACCCCCAACCCCCTGTACCGCATTCGCCGAAGGACTAGGGAAAACCTCGCTTTGAGGGAAAAACCTGCCCAGGTACTGTCGTCCCTTTGACGAGACTACCGCTCGGCAGTGAAAATGTGAGATTAGAGCGCTACAAATATTGACCGCCGTCGCCGGAAATCGAACCCGGATCTCTGGCATGGTAGTCTAGCACTCTAACCGCACGGCCACTGCCGTCGGTATTAATGTTACATATTTATGAAAGTAAAAGTCTGATGTTGGCTCAGCACGCGTTTTAATAGCAAATGAACAAGATTATTATATTATTGCCGAACAAAATGGCTGAAGAATACATATTTATATAGCTGAAACATGCTGACTAATATATCGAACGCTTGCAACAGATGTTAAACAGTCGTCCTGATCTCAAAACAATAGTCTCCATCCAAGGATTATTGTAGCATACGATAATTCCATTCTTGTCACAAGATCCGGTGAACCGGTTTTCGGGCCCAGAGACAAACAATTACATTCATAATACGGTTCACAAAGTGCTTTCCAACGAATGTATATAGTCGGAGCCAAAGGCGACATTCGTCAAAAAATACTTGATGGACCTTATGATGAAATAGTAGATTTCGCTCCTAGGACAGTAAACAATTATCTGACGAATGTGACTTTATAGTCTGAGCCGAAGGCGAGGTCTCTAATTACATGAGTCAGGAAAGAGTTTATTGGCCGTCGAGCGAAAAGGATTTTACGTTGAAAGGCCCAAAAACCGCATCCTAACCGAACGAAGAGAGGTTAGAATAGCGGTTTATCGGGCCTAGTAACGTAAATTATAATTTCATTACTGAGTCCTGCCAAATAGCATCTATCGTCCTGTTTTGTGCACGACACCTGGCGATTAGCAGCCATATACTTGATAAAGAGGAACAGTTCATTTCAAGTCACGCTTCAACGCTCCTAGGAGTGTTAAAGCGCTCTTCGGTGGCGGTAAGTCTGCGACTCGGCTCGCCTCGTGCTGCACGCGATTCACAAACTTCGAACTATCGTCCGTTTGACATGATCCAATACTATTATGTCGAGGGGACATATAATTATATGTGTTCTTCAAACAGTCTAAAGAAAATTAGCGGAAACTGCATAATAAAATTTGATGATGCTTTAACTTTACCGGTTTATTTCGAATTGAATCTCGAATCTCATTATGGCTCCATCCATCAACTGGAGGTCAAGTGGTCTCCAATTTCTGTGACGACCTCCGTGTGTCAATGTTTTATAATCAGCTACAACTGAATCGATCACTTTGGAGAGAGCAGCTGAAAATAGACAATTGAGGACAGTTAAGGACAGTAAAATACTTTCTGATGAATGAGATTTCATAGTTCGAGCCGAAGGCGAGGATTATAACCACATGAGTCAGGAAATACTTTATTCGTCTTCGAGCGAAAGAATTTTTACGTTAAAAGACCCAACAACTGGATTCTAACCGAACGAAGTGAGGTTAGAATACACCTATGGAAGCCGCCATGGAATGGCCATAGGGTGGGTAGCCTTCGCCATGGCCTAGCCTTGGCCAGGCCACCAACCGCCATGGCTGTTCCATCGCCTCTCCATAGTCGTTCCATGGCCACATTCTCCATGGCCTTCTCCATGGCCGTTCCATGGCCCTTATTTCTGATACTTATTTCAACCCTTATATTTGACCCTGGGACTGACCATCATTTTTTATCTTCGTTCTGAGCCTCACTTTTGACACTCATTTTGACCCTCATTTCTGACTCACTATGACCCTTATTTCTGAAACTTATTCCAGTCCTTATGTTTGACCCTCAGACTGACCCTTATTCTTGACCCTCATTTCTGACCCTCATGCTGACCCCTACTTCTTATATTTGACCCTTATATTTGACCCTCAGACTGACCCTAATCTTTACTTCTAATACTCATTTGACTTTCAGACTGACCCTTATTACCGGCCCTTCTTTTTTACCCTGATTTCTGACCTTCACTCTAATCCTTACTTCTGATACTCATTTGACCTTCATTCCTAACACTTATTTCAACTCTCATATTCGGGCCTCAGACTGATCCTTATTTTTGACCCTCATTCTGATCCTTACTTTTGACACTCATTTTGACCCTTATTGCTGACCCTCATACTGACCCGCTATTTCTGATCTTTATTTTCGACCCGTACGCCTGATCCTCATTCTGACCCTCCTTTCCGACAGTCATTTAGACCCTTTTTTGGCCCTTTATTTTTCATTTTCATTCTAAACCGTACGTTTAACCTTCATTCTGAACCTCATCTCTGACCTCAGACAGTTAGATTTGACGTTCGCCCTGAGCCTTACCCTTAGCCCTCGCTCTGATCTTGATGATAAGGGTCGGAATGAGTGTCAAAAGTAACGGGGAGGGTGGAGGTCAGAAATGACATTCAGAATGAGGATCAGAAAGAAGGGTCAAAGTGAGAGTCTAGATGAAAGTCAAAAGTAAGGGTCTAAGTTCGAGTCATAAATAAGGGTCAGCATGAAAGTCTGAACTGAAGGTCGGTATGAGTGTCAGAAATTCATGTCAAAACGAAGACTCGAAAATGAGGGTCAGGAAAAAGGGTCAGTATGAAGGTCAAAAATAAGAATGAGGGTCAGGAGTAGAATGAGGATGAGAAATGAGGGTAAAAAATAAAGGCCGGTGATTAGGGTCAGTCTGAGGGTCAAATATAAGGGTCGAAATAAGTATCAGGAATGACGGTCATAATGAGTCAGAATGAGGGTCAAAAATATAGGACAGAAATAGGGGGTCAGCATGAGGGTCAGACATGAGGGTCAAAATGAGTGTCAAAAGTAAGGATCACAATGAGGGTCAAAAGTAAGTATCAGAATGAGATTCAAATATAAGGTTGAAATAAGTATCAGAAATAAAGGGTCATAGTGAGTCAGAATGAGGGTAAAAAATAAGGCTCAGAAATAGGGGGTCAGCGTGAGGGTCAGAAATAAGGGTCAGTAAGAGGGTCAGAAATAAGGGTCAAAATGAGTGTTAAAAGTGAGGATCAGAATGAAGGTTAAAAATAAGGGTCAGTCTGAGGATCAAAAATAAGGGTTGAAATAAGTATCAAAAATAAGGGCCTTGGAACGGCCATGGAGGAGCCCATAGAGAATGTAGTCATGGAACAGCCATGGCGGCTTTCATAAGTGAGTACAGATTGTTCGGGCCATTTCGGCGTCTCGCCGTTTCGGCGTTTTGTTCCACGGAACGATAGAAGTTTCCTGTAATTGATTAAGGAGAGTTCAGAATTCTCAGAAAATAATGTTCGTATTTTCCCTCCACTTATCTGTCATCTACTTTTTTCTCAATCATAAGAACCCTCCTCGAAATCTGCGAATCGTTGAACGGAGGAATATATTGAAGGATTTATGATTTGCATACTTACACAACATTTTCCATATGGGTTGATGGACGCCTACACTCCTGGCGGCATGCAAGTGGAAATTTTCACATCTATTATTTATACGCACTGGATTCTTGAAAACGGACAGAACATTTCGTAACCGCAGCCAGAAAGTTCTCAGATATGCACCAAACTCTTGCAGAGCGGGTTGTCTCTCTCGGTCGATGAGTCGAGTTATTCGTTGAACTCCTTCTGGCATATCCTCTGGAGGCAAATGTGCAAAAGTGTATGCTTTTTCCAGAATGTACTCGCAACCAACAATACCAAGACTCGTCCATTTCTTCGCAATTGCCTATAAAGATGTGAGAAACGGTCATCGCGATAAAGTCTATCACCTAGTATCCGTCTGTATCTATGTCTCTGTTTATGCCTATATCTGTCTCCACGTACCATGGTGGCCATGGTCGTGGGATCCAAAGGTTATTGAGAGAGTGCTAAGGGTCAGATACAAGGATCAGAGGGTCAAATTTCGTTCCAAAGTTCCAAGTGCTGAATGAGGGATTGCAAGGGTCAGATACAAGGATCAGAGGGTCAAATTTCGTTCCAAAGTTCCAAGTGCTGAATGAGGGATTGCAAGGGTCAGATACAAGGATCAGAGGGTCAAATTTCGTTCCAAAGTTCCAAGTGCTGAATGAGGGATTGCAAGGGTCAGATACAAGGATCAGAGGGTCAAATTTCGTTCCAAAGTTCCAAGTGCTGAATGAGGGATTGCAAGGGTCAGATACAAGGGTTCAAGGGTCAAATGGAGGTGGCCTGATGATGCCGTAGCAGGGATATCAGTGCTACAGACAAGGATCCAATGACAGAGAGCAAAGATCAAATGAAGGGTTATAAGGGCCGAACACACAGATCAGAGCATCAAATAGGGGTCAAGAGTGAAATGAATAATGGGTTATTCAAGTGCCAAACACAGAGGTCGAAGGGTTGAATAAGAGGTTGTAAGGGTCGAACACAATGGTCTGAGGGTCAAATAGAGACGAAGGGGCAAATGGCGGATTATGAAGGTCAAACATACGGGTCCAATGGCTGAATAAGGAATCATGAGGGCTCAGCACATGGATTCAAGGGTCAAAGGGGTTATGAGGGTCAAACATTCGATTCAAACAATTCAATAAGGTGTTGTGAGGGCGAAATACAAGGTTCCAAGGACCAAATGAGGAACTGTAACGGTGGAAAACAAGCGTTCAAGGAACAAATGGGGGATTACGAGGGTTAAATGACGAACTACAAGGGTCTAATAAGAGATTATAAGGGCCAAACACAAGGTTCCCAAAGCCAAATGAGGGATTCTAAGGGTTGAATACAAGGGTCC